GAGGAAAATAAAGCAGCGTGTTACTAACGAAATTGGCCCAACTCATTTAGAACACAAATAAAATTACGACACAAATAAAATCTCTGATTACAGTTAAGTTGCAGCAGCAGTCAAAAAAGAAAAGAAACGGAAAAAAAAGTTCCTAGATCTAGGTAGATTTCTGTAATTAAGCTATTTCTCAAAGGGGAAATCACAAACGTGGCAGAATATTTAGCAAGCTAATTTACTGAGGAATATTTTGTTCCTATATAATTAAATTCAACACTGAAGAAAAACTGACAACTATTAAACTGAGTGCCGTCCGGAGAGGGAAGGGGGATGAGATAAAATCCAGTCTATAAAACATATTCCATTATCTTTTATAGGCTAAAAAAAACACAAAAGAAATACTTGGAAAGAATTTTCTAAGATGGAAAGATTTTAAGATTGTGTGGGGATTTTTTTTTTTTTTACAGGTGCAGAATAAGTTTTTCTTTTTTCTTCTCTTGGTTTTTTTTTTTTTTCTTTTCTCCATTTTTCCCCTGTTGTTTGCAAAGTTGAATCTGGGGTCAGGAGTTCTAATTGTAACCTCAGACTGGAATTCCAGATGGTGCGCTTAGGACTGGAAGCAACTCTCAGTTCATCAATTTCATGGGCCTACGTATCTGCTCTAGCCACCGCCTGGCCCCCGTCCCCACTGTGGCATTAATGCAGAACAAATTGAGACATATCCTCTATATAATTAGTTCCAGAATTTAAAAAGATTTACGGTATAATAATAGAGGCAGCGCTGCGGAATCCTTTCATTGGGGACTCTCGGGGAGCTCGGGGACCATCTCGCGGTGGCATCAGAACAGACGGGTAACCCCGGCGGCTCCAGGCACTGCGAGCTGGAGGACAGGGGGGCACTGCGCACCCGGCAGTACTCAGTGGTTCTGGGTCTCCACACCGGGTAGGAGAGGAGAGTCTCAACCTTCGATGCGGGATTAGTCTAAAAGATCGAGTTAATTTTGAAACGATCAGAGGAAGCCGGGCAGTAGGTTATCAAAAAAGCCCCTCCCTTGCCTTTTGTTTTTTTAATTTAAAGAAAGGAAGCAGTAATTTTTACTGCCAGCGCGGGGCAGGGAACCATCCTAAGCGCCTGTCCAGCAGCCCCGGGTGGGCAGATTCCTGAGAGCTGGAGTCGGCGGTGAGAGGAGCAGCAGCGGTGGGTCTGTTTGTCCCGTGCGTGGGGCTCTGGGCGCGGGCCCTTGGAAAGACGCTAATGAAGTGCCTGTTCCTCCCGGGCGATGGGGCGATCGGGAGGTCGAGCCACTCTTCATCACCGCCTGCGGCCCTGGGCGCGGGTAGCCCCGGCCCTTGACAGATCTCTGCGCTTTAGCGTGTTTATTCAGTTGTTGGCGGCCGCGGGGTGACGCCCGGAGCGCTGCCAGAGTGTGCGTGCTGGTCCCCTGGGCCGCGGCTGCATTGGCCCAGCTCCGGGCTCCGTGAGACGCAGTTGACAGCGCCCGGGAGAAAGTAGGGGTTGAGAGGTCCTCATTGCCTCCTCCCACCCAGCCACGATTTTTTCTTCCTGCAGTAACGATGCACCTTTCAGGCCCGGATGCATGCGCTTTAGCAATGTACCAAAGCCCCATGGCTTTCCAAGGTCTCTCCTTTCCTCCCCATTCCATGAGCCCTGTAGGCAGAGGGGTGGACGTTGAGAGATCTGGGTTTCAGTTTGGCTTTGCCACTAACTTGCTGCCTGTTCTTGAACAGTAACAGTAGCAAAAATTGTAAAGTTTATTGAGTGAAAGGCCAACACACTCTCCTATCTAATCCTCATGACAACCCCATGGAGTGGGCGCTAGTGTCCCATTATCCTGTTTGACCAATAAGGAAACCGAGGCTCAGAGAGACTGCGGAAGTTGTCTAGGATCCCACCGCTGTTGGTTACCTGGAGAAGCTGAGATTCCACTCTTGGGCCACCAATCCCTTGCTCTTAACCACTGCGCTCCACAGCTCACCTCTCCTTTCTGTTTAGGCCTCAGTTTCCTTCTCTGTAGAAACGAGGAGTTTAATCTCCAGCTTTGCCATCGATGACCAGGATCCTCTGTGCCACAGATCTCGGCGCAGACGGAGGCAGGAAGGTGAAAGGGAATGTCCAGTCACCTAAAGCCTTCATTTTCCTGGGACCTTGGGCGGGCCTTGCCAGCTGAACTCGAGTGCAGGAGAGCGCCTATCTGCCGGGGCGAGGGGGGGGGGCATGCGGGAGGTACGACCTTCCTTGGGCCAGGCTGTTTGCCCCGCCGCTGAGCCCAGGGCGCCGAGCCCAGCGTAGGGACCCTGTGTCTTAACCGCAGGCAGAGAACATTACCTAGTGGAGGGAGAAGTGGGCGCACGGGGCGCCCTGTGACTGCAAAGGTTTGCGGGTTCCCCAGTGCTGGCTTATGGGCGGGGAGTGGGGAGGGGGGGTCGGTCAGAGGCCTCCTGTCGGGCACTAGGGCTCCGGGACTGCGGGCAGCTCCAGACGCACAGCACTTCTCGGCCCCGCGGGCTGGAGAGAGCTCCTCCCACCGCTTCGGAATACGAAGTCTCGGCGAGAGGGCACCCCGGGTTGAAATGGGGATAGTACCACTGCTCTTCCTCCACTCCCCCTGCCCCCCTGCCAGGATTCTGAGAAAACAAATGGCAGAATTGAGAGGAGTCGTAAGTTTGCTTGGCTCCCCTTTCCTCCCACCCACCTCTGCACCCCACCCCACTCGTGGGCAAAAACTTAATTTTTAAATGTACCGGCAGAGATTTAAGTGTTTTTGCCCCACCTGGGATTCAAAAACACAAAAACTCACATTCAAGCTAGCCTTCTTCCAGATAACACCGCCCCCCCTCAAAAAAAAAAACTTGCAAAGGAGGATGAAAGAAACGAGCTCGGTCTTTTGGTTTGGAAATGGAAGTTCCTGGCTTTTCATAAAGGGCTCCACTTCCCCCGTAGTGCTTGTGGTTAAGGAAAACGACTTGAAGCAGAAATAAAAGGCAGTGATGAGGAGGGAGACACAAGGGTCTGGGCGTTCTAGGGGCAATGTGGCCTTGAGAAGTTTCGTTTCGCAGGAACTTTCTCCACCAAAAAGACCAAATGCGCGTGCCCTCTGCCCATCCGGGCAAGCCCCGCTACAGATTCTGGGGGTTCAGGGATGGGGCGTGAGGAAGAGGAGTGGGCAGAGTGTAGGGGTCCTCGAGAGCCTTTCATTTCTTTCTTCTTTCGTTATTTTTAAAAAAGCTTCTGAGTGAAGACGAAGCGAAGTCAAGCACCAAAAGAAGCGAAGGGAGGTGTCCACAAACGCAAAAGTGGCAGGGGACATAGCCCACGTTCCGGACTTTTACCCTCGGGGTCTCCTGAGCCTACTGGATGCGCAACCCCAAGAGGAGGGAATTGCGCGCCGGCGTGTAGGTCCCGAGCCCCCAAACGCTTTGGGACCGCAGCCGGAATTTACAGCGACGGCGTTTTTTACACGAAGCAAGTTAAAACCAAAGCGTATGAAGTGGAAAGCATGTTAAGGCTACTGAAACGCTGTGTCTTTGTAAAACTGCAACTACCTTGACTGTTGCTTCACATAGGCTTGGCTGGGAAGCTGCGGGCCCCATCCCCGGCCAGCTTGGTGCGACAGGCCAGACTGCAGTCGGCTACTTTCCTCCCAGGCTGCACTATCGGCGCTGCCCCCTTGCGCTCCTGGGCGTTTCCACGAGCCCCTGAAACGCACTTCACTCCGGACTCCCGGCGCTTCTTGCTTATGGGCCGTTTCCCAATAGATCCTGACTACTTTAGAAGAACCAAAAAACCCAAAACAAAACCAATCCCCAAACACCTGCTCTGGGGTGTTACTGCCAAAGAGCGACTAGGCGGAGGAAAAAATCTGATTCGGCGAAGCCAAACTCTCGGAGCTCCCAACTGTTCCAACACTGCCTCGGCCCGTGGGCCCACAGAGGCTCTCCCTGCCCCACTTCTTGGTCTCCCTAACTGGCTTCCGCCTCCTGGTCAATCATTGCGCATCCAGAATAGCAACCCCGACCCTGAGCGCAGGCAATGCTCGGCGGAACTGTTCTAGGAGTCACTCTTTCCTGGCTGGCTTCGTATCCAAACTCTCCCTGTTGCCCCTCCCTCCCCAAAACGGGCGCCAGGATGCTCGAGCCGGAATATACGCAGACTCTGGGCGTTTTCCCCAAGGGTTTTCTTCCCTACTAAAACCATCAGTTGTTTTCCCGGCTTAACCGTAGAAGAATCAAATACTCTTCACTAGAAACGTAAATTTAAGTGCTGCTGACTCCAGTTTTAAGTAGGCGGCAACCACCCTCCGCTGGGCGTAAACCTCGCCAAGTAACCAACTGCCAGACATCAAAACGTGCCCCCCTTATCATAAATGGTGCATCTCCCGGTCACTCAGCTGGGGCACTTTCGCTCGAGTCCCGACCTCCGGAACGCACAAGGGCCGCCCCGCTCCCTAGTGACCCCAAGATCACGACCACCACTCCAACCCAACGGCTTTAGAAGCAAGAGCCGGACTCGCGAGTGCAAAGCAAAGGTATCGTCCTCTTAGAAGCCTGAGAGTTCTCTGCGCTTTCCTGAAGTTCCCGCCCTCTGGGAACCTACCTGCCCCTCCCTCCAAACCGCCCTCTTAGATTATCAGCCCCATCTCTACTCCCACCACCTCCCATGCTGAGGAGACACTCTGCTTACCTGGGGGGACTCGCCAGTGCCGGGAGGCTCGCACACTCGTGAAGACCAAGAAGGGGAGGTGGGGGGAGGGTTGTGCCACACAGGCCAGCCGAGAGCGCGTGGCGGGTAGAAGAGGAGGGTGTCTCCCAGAGGGACGCTCCCTCAGGCCCGCCCCCACCCCCGCTGCGAAGGCTCCCTCCAGGAGCAGCTCGCGCAGCCTGGCCAGGCTAGGGCTGCTGTGTGAATGGAGCGACCGAGCCTCCTGGCTCCTCCTCCTCCCCCGCCGCCAGCCCCTCTTATTTGAGCTTTGGGAAGCTGGGGGCAGCCAGGCAGCTGGGGTAAGGAGTTCAAGGCAGCGCCTACACCCGCGGGCGCTCCGCAATCCGATCGCCTGTCCGCTCCCCCTTCCCGCCCTCCCTCCCACTCATTCACCCACCCAGCGCCGGGACCGCAGCCCAGGAGCCGGGGCCCCGCCGCCTCCTCGCCGCGATCCTGGACTTCCTCCTGCCGCAGCAGCCGGCTTCCACGTGTGCCCCGGAGCCGGCGTCTCAGCACACGCTCCTCTCGGGGCCTGGGTGCCTACAGCAGCCGGAGCAGACGGCGGTACGGGACTCGGGCGGCATCTGGGCCAAGTTAGGCGCGGCTGAGTGGAGCGCCGAACGTCCGCAGGGCCTGTGGAGCCGCGGGGCGTCCGGGGCAGAGCCGCAGCAAATGGGCTCCGACGTGCGGGACCTGAACGCCCTGCTGCCGGCTGTACCCTCACTGGGTGGCGGCGGCGGCTGCGCCCTACCAGTGAGCGGCGCCGCGCAGTGGGCGCCGGTGCTGGACTTCGCGCCCCCGGGCGCTTCGGCTTACGGTTCGCTGGGCGGCCCGGCGCCGCCGCCGGCTCCGCCGCCACCCCCGCCGCCGCCGCCCCACTCCTTTATCAAACAGGAGCCGAGCTGGGGCGGCGCGGAGCCGCACGAGGAGCAGTGCCTGAGCGCCTTCACGGTGCACTTCTCTGGCCAGTTCACCGGCACAGCCGGAGCCTGTCGCTACGGACCCTTCGGTCCTCCTCCTCCGCCCAGCCAGGCTTCCTCCGGCCAGGCCAGGATGTTTCCCAACACGCCCTACCTGCCCAGCTGCCTGGAGAGCCAGCCCGCTATTCGCAACCAGGGTAAGTAGGCCGGGGAGCGCCCCCTACAAGCGGGGCGGTGGCGCCTGAGCTCTAGCTGCGCGCGGGCTCTCCCCTCTCCTACCCCTTCCCTGCCCCAGCTCTAACCCGGCTGCCTCCCCAAGGTTTGTGAGGGTAGCAGAAGCGGCGGCTGGGGAGAGGAGAGCGCAGAGAGGGAGCATGGGCTCGCGACATCCTGCACAGCCAGCCAGAGCGGGAGCCCGACTGTTCGCAAGAGCCGGGAGGCCGTCTGGGGCCCCTCGGAGCCCCGGGGATTCCGAGACTGCTAGGTTTTTGGGGATTGGGACAAGGGGACCAGTGCAGTGTCTGGCTCTGTCTGGGGAAGTGGTTTTGATATTCAAGGTACCACCAAATTGTCACTAGGCATAGGGCTTTTTAGACGTCTAGGCTGTGGATTCGGAATGGGACCAGCGCGACATGAACAAACAGCCTGTGCTGCCTCCGCCGCGCCAAAACGTCCAGGAGCACCTCCAGCTCTTACTAGGGTGTTGGCATACTTTAGGCACGCGATAAGTATCACAGAGCACTAGAATGAGTAAATGTCCTGGCCAGTAATTAAGTGGCTTCCCCGCCTATAGTAGGATAGAAGTGGATGGCTCAGGCAACGGCCACGCAGGCTTGGGGGACGGAAGAGAACCTGATTTATCCGATTCCAAGCTATGCGGGACCAGGTTCTGCCACAGGCAATGGAATGAGGCCTGAGTATCGGCCTTTCTTTCCCTGCGGCTAGGGCGCCTTCTCGTCGTGTAAACGCGGGGCTTGGCTGGGGAAAGATTTCTTCAAGACTCCGGTGTAGAAGAAGGACAAATGTATTTGCTGTCTTCAGTGAGTGTACCAGGGACCATGGCGCACAAGTGTCATGTGTTTTCTAATCCTACGCTGGGGCCCGCGCACCTCTCTTTCGCCGAGGCCGGCGCGCACCGAGGGTGCAGAAACCCTGGAGTTTGGCCTCTTCATTTATTCTCATTGGGTTTCTGCGTGTTTGAGAACCTAAGCCAGTAGGTTTGATATGATATTTTAGGAAGCACTTTACTAACACAATGGTAGGTGCTTTTCCTGGAGCAAAAATTCGTGGGGGCTTAGGGACTGGGATGTTTTGGAACGCGTGGGATGGGAGAAGCCAAGTGTGTACTGTTTGCGGGAGGTGCCAGGGCTCCCAAAGCGTGGAAGAAGGGCTTTGTTTTTGCCACTCTTGCCCTCGCCTTATAAACGCGTATCTCCTACTTTCGTCCAGCGGACAGCACCTGGCCCATCCGAAGCCCTGCAGAACCAACACCACCCTTTCGCCCAGAGAATCTGGGACCAGTGCCCCGCGGAGGAACCTCAAGCAGACCCAAGGAGTCCATCCGCTCTAGGTCTTTCGTTGGTGAAATTAGTGTTTCCTACTCAAGGGATATGGGAATAACACTGTGCTCTCTCAGAGGCTCGTTGTTGTCAGATTGTGCCACCTTCATTTAGCAGGCTGGTGTTACTTTTGGCAAATTTCCAGGTCTCAGTTTCGCCGTCTGTAAGAGGTGAGCTGAGATGGGCAACGTGGATATTGGGTCCAGCCAGAAGATATATGCCAGAGATTCAGAAGCCTGACTTTTTCTTCCAGCTTGAGGCTCTAAATACAGAACGCGACAGCCCATCTAAACATGACTGGGTGAGAAACCCAGCCACTGGCAGGCAGGTGTGTGATGTGAGGCTCTGTGTGCATGCATGTTATTAGGAGAATCCTGAGATACTATCTGATATATGCCCCTGGGTCACAAAATACTACTGCGCCATTACTATTATTATTATTATTGTCCATCTTGGGTCAGTGGGGAATTTTTGAAACCTGGGCTCTGTCACTTCGGTTTGAGTGCCCTGTGTCCAGCCCTCTTCAGGGCAGGTCTGGTGTTCCAGGTCCCATCAACCAAGCGTGGGAGCGGGATTGTGGGCCTCACAGCCAGCAGGCATTACACTTCTCCAGATTCCTCTATAGTAGACAGGCCTGGCTGCCACAGAGAAAAAGAGCTTGGGAACTGGGCACGACTAGCAGGTGAATGTGTCCTCCCTCTCCACCCTGGGGGAAAATCCCAATGGAGAGAGGGCCCCAGATTCAGATCATATAACCTGTAAGCTGGTTCTTGTCTGCAGGCTTAAGTTTTCACCAGAAATAAAAACATTAATAGATCAAGCATGTGCAGCCTTTGGGGCTCATTGGGAGCTGGGGTGGGATGTGAGACGCCCTCCACCCCTACCCAGGAGTCAGCAACAAGGGCAGCCCTCAGGTCTCAAGATTCTGGATTTACTCTTCTGATTTCTGGGGTTCTTGCTGCTCCCCCCAGGAACAGCCTGGCTGAAGGCTTGGGCTGTGAGAGGCATGGGCATCGGCTCCTTCTCTCAAAAGTGTGGGAATGGCCATCAGTGTGCCAAGGCCAAACTCCAGAGAAGAGGAATGGAGGCTGTCTCTGGATCCCTAGGGCAGCCTAGCCATGGCCCACAGGCAAGGGCAATGGCTGGTGCCCACTCACACCCCCTCCAAACTTCACAACCATGTTGATTTAATAAATTTCTTAAATATTATAGCTGGGATCTTATATTCTAAACATTAATTTAGCAAACATCACGCGCCCACTCTGCCAGGTGCTGGGACTAACTATTAAGACAATTAATGGCCTCCAGAACCTTTGCAAGAAGCGCACAGCCTGACACTGGAGGAGCTCCCTATTTTCGGATGAGGAAGTGGAAGGTCTATGAGATTAGGTGTGCAAGAGGTCTCAGTTTGTGGCAGAGCTGGGTCTGGAACCCAGACCATTCTAGGCTATTTCTACCACCCTTTTCAGGGATCTTGGCCCCACTGTTGAGACGTATTTCTCCTGGCCTGCTGGATGGGCACTGAACTCCCTGCAGTCTGTGTGTGTGAGTTGAAGGGTGTGTCAGATGTAGGATGAGGACTTGGGTAGTCCAAACTAAATGCAGGGCTAAGAGAGAGGGAAAAATGTTGCTTGCCAGTCACTTCCTGATCCCCCAGTTCTGCTGTCGGGCAGAACTCTAACACAGGATCTGGCCTTGAGACCACCAGGCACCCTAGAGTAACGTGGGGAGGCAGCTAAGCCCAGGGCCAAAGGCTCCCCCTTCCCATCACATAGGAGAGGGTATTTCGTTGGGGTACAGGTTTTCTCAGCTCTCGCCGCTGCAGCTGCAGTCATCATTTTCAGCCTTCCTAGCACCTTCCTGAAGGAGCCTGCTGTCCATTCCACCCCTCAGCTCCCCAGGGGCTGGCAGGGCCAGGCGGTTTCTGGGCTTCTCCGCAGCCGCGAGCAGGGGAGGAAGGATCAGAGCGCTTCTCGCCTCATCCTAAGGTCAAGGTTGCACCTCCCATCTCAGGCCGGGACTAACCGTGGGAAAGGCACTGTCTTGGCCACTACAGCCTCTCCCTCCAAGGCCTGTACAAGGAGCCTTTGAACACGCTGCTCCTTCCAGCCGGCAGCTGTCCCTCCCCCCGGCCGGCCCCAGCCCCCGCACTCTCTGTGCCAGGCCCAGCGCGGGGCTGGGGGACAGCGCTCTCTAATCAGACTCATGTCCGATAAGCTTCTAATTAAAAGAGCCCTCTCTCCGCTTCGCGGGCTCTTTCGCCACTGCCCTACCTGGGGGAACTGAGGGAGGGGTTTCGAGCCCCGGTGCCCGCCAAGGTCTGCGTGTCCTGTCTCAGAGTGGGGGCGGGTAGGGAGCCTGGCCGGCACCGGCACCCTCGGCCGGAGTTCCAGGGTGCGGAGCGACCGCGGCCTGCGCCCAGCAGCTGCAGTTCAGGACCCGCCGCCCTCCCGCGCACCGACTGTTGCTTTGCGGAGCAGGGCTCTGAGGACTGCGCGGTGCCACGGGTCACTACCTGCTCTTCAGCCCAGGAATGGAAAAGGGTTCGTCTAGAAAAAATTTATCTGTCGCTTCTATTTCTCCTCTGTACTTAAAAAATGCCCTTTCAGAAATTCCACCTTCCCCTCTGGGCAAAATTGGGTGCCCGGAGCCAAATTTCGTTGGTAAGCTATCTGTAGGCCTCAAACAGGACCGGGCCTCCACTTTCACAAGGAAGTCCCTGGAAGCCCAAGCTAGCTCACCCATGCCTGAGAACTAAGGGGGCCGGCCGCGCGTTATCTTTGCCCACTTAGCAGGCGAGAAATAGAGGCCCTCTGGGGTCGTGCAGGTTATAAAAGCTGGTGGCTTCTTAAATCCTCAACCTGTGGCGTTGACCCTGCGTGAGACTTAAGCCAGACCTGTACGGTATAGTTACGATTTGCTCCCCGCCCCCTACTCTAACACACCATCCTCCTGCTCCGGAGATACAAGCTCCTTTTTTGTTTTCCGGGTGGGTGGCAGTGTGTTTCTAAGATGGGGGTAAGGGCTTCCTTTTTCTGTCCTGTTTAAGTCTTGGAAGACACTTGTTGCAGAACGTTGGACATACCGGGCAAGAGTAGAGGAATGGAGGTTGTTTGCCCCAACGCCTGAGAATTTTGTGGGGTTTGGAGACCAAACACCGTCGGGGGTCAGTCGCTGGGCTAGGTGGAACTGAGGATGGCGGAGTGGTCCTGCAGGGAGCCCTTGGGAGCAGCCGACTGGTCTCTTTTGCTGCTTGGCCACTGACTCCCCAGGCTGCACTAGAAGTAGAGGAGTCCACCTTTGGGTTCAGGGACCAAGGACTGAGCTTTTTTAGCCAGACCATGCTTTTTCCCCAGAGGTGGCAACAGCTTTCCGGAGGCTGATGGGGTATATGTTTAAAGCAATTTAATAAAAATCATAAAAGGCTATGTTTTCCAACTGAGACAACCCATTCCTTTACTCGCTTTCGGAGAGATGGGTAGGAACACAGGTGATACTGCCCTTGGCAGTTTCTCGGCAGGGAAACCGAGGCAGAAGGCCCGTGCACTGCCTAGGAGGGAAAAAGAGACACACTATGGAGACACACTCTAAAAGAAACCAGTGTTCGGGCCTAGGGAGCGAGGAAATTGGCCCCTACAGCAGTGGTCAGAATCTGACCCTCTGGGCGCCAGGTGGGTCGGAGAGGGGGAGGAGGAGGACGCAGGATTGAGGACGAGGGCCCAACTGGAAGGGCCCCTTCTTTTCCCCTCTCACTTCTTTGTCCCCTCGCCGGCTTTCCCGAGGGCCTCGAGTGTTGTGGTGTTGGGTCCTGCAGCCCCAGACAGATAACATTACCCGGTAATTACTCTCCCCATTTTAAGACCAGACCGTTTAACTGGCTCCGAGTAATTAATGAAAGTTGGTGCGCGGGCCCTTGATTTACAGCTCGGAGTCAGCGCGGGGTCAGCCGAGCAGATTCATTTCGCTCGCTCGCGCTGCCCCTGCGCGAGAGCCGCAGTGTTTGTTTTGGGGAAGAACAACTTTCTCCGCTGAGCGGGCGACGGTTTTTATACTTAACCTGCCAGGGTTTCGCTGCAGAAGCCGCAGACACGGTGGAAGACAGAGGCATAAACAAATTGGGAGACAGCGGGGATGTCAGGGTTTTAGTCGTCAAAGGGCGGGGAAGCCTGTCCCGAGATCACACCTGCGGATGTGGGCCCGCTTCCGGCTGGAAGTCCTGGAGGCTGGTGGGGCGGGGCTACCCTCCGCTGGGCATCCGAATAGTGGGGTCGACACCTCCGCCCCGCCCGGGTTCTTGCTCCGACCCATGGTCCCTGTCTCCCCCGAGCCCTGCTGACACTGTGCTTCTCTCTGCCGCTCCCGCAGGATACAGCACGGTCACCTTCGACGGGACGCCCAGCTACGGCCACACGCCCTCGCACCACGCGGCGCAGTTCCCCAACCACTCTTTCAAGCATGAGGATCCCATGGGCCAGCAAGGCTCTCTGGGTAAGCGGGAGGGAACGAAGTAGGGTAATTCTCCCCTTGGTCACGCTACCCCCGCCAAGGAATTTCCAACCCACAGCAAATTGGGGGAGGGAGAGGAGGAAATCTAAAGGACCTTAGAAATAGCCCAATTTTACTCTATTTAAAAGACTGAGTCTCCTTCCATCCCAAATGTGGTAGGGGCAAAGCCATTCAACCAAGTTTACGAATGTCGCGAGGTGCACCGCGCGGCGACGGCGAAGGGAACGTAAAGTGAGCAGCCTGGCTCTTTACGTTCTGGACCGCCTCGCTCTGCACGCCCTGCATCCGGCCCGATGTCCCTAGCTCAGCCTGGGGCCCAGCTCAGGATGCTCGCATTTCCCCCACCCGCGGCCTCTTACCCCGAGTCCTTCGGACTCTCCACAGGTGAGCAGCAGTACTCGGTGCCGCCCCCAGTCTATGGCTGCCACACCCCCACCGACAGCTGCACTGGCAGCCAGGCCCTGCTGCTGAGGACGCCCTACAGCAGGTAGGAAGGCGCTGGGACCGTGTCTGAGTCCCTGGGACCTGGGAGGGGGCGCGCAAGCCGAAGGCGAAGGCGCGGGACGTCCCACGTGGGGCAACCCGGGATTCGGGCGTGCAGGGTCCTGGAGGCAGAAGACCTAGCTACTTAGAGCAAATTAAAGCTGTTATCCCCGGCCTTCTGGTTGTTCTTTCTTTGCATATGTAAATGAGGGCAATTACAGTTTGGAGCTGAAGAAGGAGGAGCGGCACTTCGAAATTATTTTTATTTTTTAAAGAGTCTTTGCTAGGAAGAAGTTACCTTCCAAAGATTAAACACGGAGTCCACTCCCGCTCCGTTCTTCTCACTCTTCAAACCCCTCCTCGCCCACTGGCCACACCGGCTAAAGGACTTCGAGGGCGCGTACCTTGGCCACAGCCTTCTCCCCACCCCGCGGCAGGTTTGTGGGCGTCCTTCCCAGCGCCCCGGCTACGCACTGGGACCCTGGCCTGTGAGCGGGATGGTGGTCGGGTTGCAACAGGGCCGGTCGGGGGAGCCTGCTCCAGCCCGCATCTCACCTTCTTCCTGTTCGTCGGAGGCCAAAGACCAGCTTCTTTCTCCTCCAAGCGTTTTCTGTGTTCCGGTCTTCCTTTTCTCGCCTCTCGCTCCACCCTCCACCTTCTCTCCCCAAAATTTATTCTTCAACTTTGGGTGAACTTGGCTGGCATCCCGCGTCTCCGATAGGGTTGCCTAGTAACTGTAGCACACAGTCCGGCCTGCGCAGGGCGGGAAAGTGGGGCGGCGCAGGGAAGTGGCAGCGCGCGGCCTTTGGGGCCTCAGGATTGGGCGCACATGACCTCATAGCTCCCCCCCTCCCGGGTGCTGCGGAGATCCTGACACCGACTGCCCCCAAACCCATCCCATCCTCCCACCCCTCCGCGCGGGGACCCGGGGCTGACGTCAAGGGAAGGAGGTAGTGAGGTAATGAAGGAAGGAAAAGAGCCTGCCCGGGGAGATTGGGTGGGGGAACGGCCGCCCCTGGGGGACCTCGCATCCCGCAGGTGGAGGAGGGGCGGGAGTCCTGGCTCCACGTCCGCAGCGGCGCATCCCAGTGCCCCGGCTGCATTTAGGGGATTGAGCCTGGGACTGGCCTGACTCTCCCATCAGGGGCCTTGTAGTTTCTAGAGAGGTACGGGGACGCGCCTCTTCTGTTTCTGACGGCTGAGGCGTGCGGACAGGGGAAACCTTTCCCTTTGATCTGAAAATCTGGCATATCAAATCGAATCTCGGATTCTCATCACTTTTGCGCGGGGTGGGGCGTAGGGGAGGAATAAATGTGCGCAGGTTACACAGATAGAAGTAGAATGGTCACACTTCCTTATCCTCCTTCTTCTCCCTTCCTAGCTAGAAACCAGTTCTGATCTGCACCGCAGGCTCAGCATTCTGCCCCAAGCCCGCCAGCTCGGCGCCTCCCTTCGGTGGGTCACGTCCCTGGAATGGGTGCAGGATTTGCACCCATTCTGAACCCCCTCCCCTGGCTAAAACTGGCGGGGTCATTGCCATCCTTCTTGAGTAGCTGCTCCCGCCTGTTGCCAGGTGTCATTGCTGTTATTCTAGTGGCCGTGGAGGGGCAGTTGGAAGGGTTCCCCATGGAATGACCTTGACACACCTCTCGCTTTTTGGCTCCTTGTGGATTCAGCTGATGTCTCACCCCAGACTGGGAGGAAGGCCTTGGTGCCGGTGTGGGCGCTGTTGAGATGGGCCGGGATACCCCCTTGGGGGTTGGGGACTGGGAGGAGTTGCAGTGTCGACTTCTCAGGACACACGCCCCCCCTTACTTTCCTCTCTCCCAAGCCTGGACTCACTCTGTGGGACATTAGGAAGGGGCCCATCGGAGGGACTGAACAGCCTAGAAAGAGAAGGAGTCCAGGATAAAGTGCTACAACTGCTGGTTTCATAGCAATTCTCCAAACAGTCTCTGTGGTGGATTTTGACTTAGGTCTGAATTTATGGTTGCTATGGAAGTAGGAAAATAACTCAAATTGCATTTTATACATAAATTTTCACATTTCCTAATCCAACTTCTAGTTGGCCGTTATAAAGCAATTTTGTCAGATTCATCTTTCAGAAACATGTGCTTATTCTTTCTGTGTCATTTTGGAACTTCCTTTGGTCCTGTTATTTTTACACAAATCTCATAAAAATACCATTTTCCCCTGTTACAGAAAATTTCTCAAGTAATAACATCTCAAAAAAGAATTTTGTGGCTAGTGTAGGAAAAGAGTTTGCTCCTTTGAAGTTTGTACTCTCTGAGTCTTTGAAGCTCCATCTACCCTAAATTCACAACATTTTCTAATGACTTTTCAAAGATCCTGTGCCTCTCCTGCAGTAACGGTGAATGGGCAGGTATAGGGATGTTTTAAAATTGCACCAACATTACTGCAGTTGTATGGTTTTCTTCTTTCCTACTTCTAAAAAAAATTGAAAGGGTATTTAAATGCTTCTGTGGATGAAATGTTTGAAAAAGCTTAGAAAATAGGACTAATCTTTAATTGCTTAATGGCCTAACTTTTGGAGTTTGGATATTCCGCTGTGCTTCTACTGGTTTCTGGTTCCATTCTTTTTTCTGTCTGAAATTGGGAACTTCTGGGAAAAAACTTGTTTGTATTTTGTTTGCCTTGTTGAACCTGACACCCTGAGGCAGACTACCCCACTTCTTTTCCCCTGTCCCCCAAAAGCTTCTGTCTCCCCAATCTTGGGATCTAGTTTCCCTTTCCACCCTGAAATAAAGATAATGGTACATATCTGACATTAAATATGCAGCGTACAATGTGAGTTTGCTTTGAGGAAATTCTCAAAATCCCAATTCTTTCCTTGCCCCTACACAATTCCGTCCTTTCCCTCAGGTAACAGATCTGAGGAGTTATGGCTACATATACTCGCACGTGGATATGAACAACAGTGAATAGAAAATGCACCCAGTCAACTTACGGGAAGAGATAGGAGGTGGTTTCCCCCATCTTCTCTATCCTCTGTCCCCCAGTATTGGAGATGGGTAGAGTTTTGTCTAAAGGTCACTAGACTTCTGAAACCAGGTGTTGATCCTTATGGAACCCAGTGATCATAGCTGGATGAAAGCATACATCTCTATACCATAATATCTAGGATTTGCTGCATGTTGACTGCATGTTGCCGGGCACTACGATAGTGCTTCATTCAGTTCACTCATTTACCCCTCTGACTACTCTATGAGGTAAGTGCTATAATATGTATTGTATTGATGATAAAATACATTTGAAGACTCAAAGTAACTTGCTCAAGGTTACACAGTGAATGAGAGTCAGAACCAGGATTTGATCCTCAGTCTCTCTGACTTCGGAGCCCACCTGTATTCTGAATGTGAGTGCTTCTAGACCACTCAGGGTTCCCCATCTGGATTATTTCCCTTGCACAGTCCATGCCAGCACTTGTACTGATAAATAATAAGAACAAATGCTCATGTAGATGTACTACATGCCAGGTCCCATGGAAAGCACTTTACAAGTATTGGCTTACTTAATCCACCTAACAAGTCTTTGAGGTAGGCAATAGGCTATCACCCCCATTTTACAGAAGAGGAACCTGAGGTCTGGAGAGCTAAATTTCCCCAGTGTGACACCATAAGGGACAGAATTGGTGTTCAAATTAAGGTATTGAGGATCCAGAATCCATCCTCCTACCCTCTGTACCTTACTTCTTTTCCAGATGGATAAGTGCCATTCTCTTTCTGAAGGTGGCAGCTGTGCTTGGTCCTGCTAGAGGAAGGTCTTTATTTCCTGCAGGTGTGAAAGAAGTCCCATTATCTGTTAGTTTGACCCATAGCTTTTGATAGAAAGCTCTTATTGGTTTGGGGACAGTACTTTCCCTGGTAGGTATGGTCAGAAGCAGACTTGAGCATTCTCTTGAAGTCTTAACACACAAAGAAGCTGTCATATCTTTCAAACTCCAGACTCCTCCAGCTTCATCTTTACCTCTGGGTGTGAATTATTGGGGTAAAGTTCAGTCCAGGCACCTAAACAGTCCCAGGGCGAAGACCTTTCTCCCTGTCCATCCAGACCTAGGAGGAAGGACTGCTTCCAGGGCCACCCTGGTTTGTGCCTGCCCAGAGGTAAGATCCTATAGAAGGGTGTAACCCATGTTCTCCTGGTGGAGGGAGGGAGTAATGAGGTCCAACCTCAGTAGGCACAATTTTTTCCAATTTCCACCCAGAAAAGACAGCTAGCTGGGGCTTCTCTGCTCTCTTCCCTTGAGCCCCGCTGACCTCCTTGGAGCCCCAAGGCTCTGACTCATGAATTGGTCCTTACAGCTGCTTAGAAATTTCTGTGCACTGTGTTTGAAAAAATATTACCATGCATACTGGTTGGGTTTTTTTTTAGACACTCTAGTCTTTTCCCTTTCTCTTTGCTCTTTTATTAGGTTTGCATATTCTTCTTTAGTAACTGTGGTACCTATTTAAATGAGGACATTTCTTTTTGCCATACTTTTTCCCTTTAGCAGGTAAAACTGCTTCAACTCTGGAAGCAATAGTTGCTGGTTTGACTATTTTTAATTGAATGTTGGTGATTCACAAATGGTGCCTTTGACAGTGGAGCTTGTTACCAGTAGACTGTCATTCAGGTGAGAGAAACTTCCTTAGCAGCTATGGAGTTTCTGGGGAATCTTGGGTTCCACAAGTCAGTGAGAAATGCATGGTCCACCATTCAGGTTGGCCTTCAACATAGACATACATCAGATGACAGCTCGTGCCCAAGAAAATAAAATCATAATTAATAAATCTCTTTTCCCTTGTGTACTTATATACATTTAACATAGTATTTGCACTTAGTACAATATTAATATTTGTTTCCCACATAGGTAGACAGAAGGTGGAAGGTCTAACGTGGCTTCCAGGGTGGTGGGCAATGTTATCAAAGCCAAGGGCTTGAATTAAATTCATCTCCGGGGAGGGGTAAAAATCTAGTTCCAAATATTCCTGTATCTTTTGTGCT